GTGCATACACGCACGGCACCACTTATCTGGAACACTAAAATAATACTGATGTCAAAACGAGAATAGGAAAATATTAGTGAATAATGCGCACACACACACACACACATGCACATACACATTCTCTCACACACTAGTGAGGCATTTCTCTCCTCTGTGGTATAAACAAATCCAGTAACTGCCCCTCCATGCTCTTAAATTTACAAAGGCTTTGTTCTCATCTACATAATCAAACACAAAATTACATACCAAACTCGATCAATATGATTATTTAGTTCAGTTCTAGAGAAAAGGACAATTCCTAGTACTGTTTTTTGCCATGTAACATCTATTAGGCAACAGCTCAGCATGGGCCGAAATCTAAGCCAGGCTACTATGCGTGTCTACAACTGGCTTCACTTAGGCTCACATTTACTTTCTATCGACTACAAATGGATTACAGCTGAAATTCGGTCTGAGTGAACTGGCCTTCAGCTCTTTCTGACCCCAACTCTTCTCGCCGCCACGTCACCGTCCACTTTATCAGAAATCCCTACCTTACAGGTGTACAGTTACAGCCTGCAGCTCCATCTGCCGCTGCACAATTTATCAGTTCCCCTTTACCGCATTCATCATTGATCAGTTTCTGACCTCCTTATTTGGGTGGCAGACCACTCTCAGCAACTACACTAACACAGATGCTGAGATTCTGCTATTCAGTGGAAGGTTGGAAGGAAACCCTCACAGAGAGCTTATTCAGCATCACTGGCCAAATGTGTTGGTATTTAACATTTACTAAAGGAGCAGACTGTGTTTTTTATAAACGGCTGCCTGCTGAACCACATGGCAAACATAGTCACTAACCACAAAACTTCAGGAAGAGGGAACAATCAGAAACAAACAGGATGGACAGAGAACCAACTCTGCACACACACGTGTGCAGACAAACACACACACATGCAAGTTCACGTCCTCAAGTCTAGCTGTTTCCCGTCCTCACAGGAAGTCCAACATACTCACTTTTCCCAAAGACCCAGTTTCCCAAAAGCATCTCAGTGTAAAGACTGTTTTAACCGGTAGAGAGAGTGTTCCGTGTAATGCTCGCTCACCCATTTAAAGGGCCCACATCATGAAAAACTGAATTTCTCTTCACTTTTTTTTTATTAAAGTAATTTGTACACATTGTTACCATCACATCACAGTCCATACGGTCCAGACGCAAAAACAGCTTGTTTTGGATTCACCGTTTCTGTGATGTCATATGAACTAGCTATTTTTACATATATCCACCTATTCAGTGGTTTAGCCCCACCCATTCATACTGAAGTTATAAGGAGCATTTCAGCTCTGAGTGTTTTTACAATGAGGCACAATGCACAGCAGCCAGTCAGAACAGAGCTCATTTACATATATCAGTCCTGGAGGCACCACTTTTTGGTATACGAAACAGCACAACTGATGTAAGTGGACCTAACCCCCAAGCAGACACACACGCCTTGCTCCCTTTCACACACACAGGCCTTGGTTGTCGCCATCTGCCACTACACACTCAGAGTGCATTGTGTCCCCCACAGTCACAGCAGACTCTCCACGGCCCCTCGTTTCACCTCAACACATGAACGGACATGTGCATGAATGCGACAGCCTGGCATTAAAGGAGGAGTTCAGCACAAATGTCGTCAAGAAAAGTCTGGTGTCTGAAGTTTCTTTAATTCTGCACTGAAACTACGAGGCTAACGTAGCATCGTGCTAACAGCATGCTTAAATCATCACATGCTTGTCTTACACTGGGAGTTGTTCTGTTATCTCTAATAGGCTTGCTTATGTGGTTTCTGTCTCTGTCTGACACACTGCTATAAAAACGGACATAACTACCATGATTCTGAGCTTAATTTCTTTATAGCCAAATTGAGTTATGGTCAACTTTTATTAGCCCTAAGCTTTTAGTTTCTTCTGTTAAATGAACACATGAGACACTCAAACTCATCTCCAGTACTTTCCATTAGCTTAATTTGCAATATGAATAACATTAATTGCTCTTTAATGAGAAAATCAGTTCTTGAAATAACATGAATCAAATAAAGCACTAAAAAAATAAGGCTACGTTCACATTACCAGGTTCAAGTGGCACAAATCTGATTTTTTGCCCTAATGTGACTCAGATCTGATGTTTTCAGAGCTGTGTGGACACAAATCAGATTTTTTCAAATCCAACCTGAGCCACTTTCAGATGTGGTCCTAGATCAGATACGTATCCGATTCATGGCCATGCGACCTTAATGTGATGCTCAGATCGGAATTCGTGTGTTTTTTTTCCACTGCGCGTGCGCCATCATTCAGCGTTACCATGGCAGCAGCGCCGAACAGAAGTTAGAAACCTGTAAATGGTGGAAAAGCAACACATCTCACCTTTTTCTCCTTCGTCTCACTCTAATAATGAACAGCTGAGAGCTGATCAGAGTTAATTATCTTCTCAGCGAAGCTCGTTCTGCTCGTTAGTTTGTGCTGATGATGCACGTGATTCGTTCACGTGACATTACTGAGCAGGAAGTGCGCATGCGGGTCATTTCAGGACGCCGGTTCGTTCACATAAATGACAGATTTGAATCGCTTACCTAAACGAGAGTGAATCATCGTGTCTGAGAGATCGGATCTGAGAAAAAAAAAATCAGATTTAAGCAATGAAGCTTGTAATGGAACGTAGCCTAAGAGGCAACTGGCAACTTGGCACGATGACTCATGTATAATTATGCTACAACATCTTTGTGCAAGTGCAGCAGCAGCATTCAAATACAGCACTAAGTGCACTTAACTGACTCATGTTATTTACATAAAAGAACTGCAACACAGATCAGCCATAATAAAAGTAATAAACTGACCAGTTACTGATAACGAGTTTGGAGCAAAAAAACTCTGAAGTGCACTCCTATAAGTATACTATGCAAAATACTTCAGTCCATTTTTATAGATTACAGTATAAAGTACAGTATCAGAAACCACACAAGCAACCTATTTGAAATTTAGTAGATTTTTACTGATTCTTTTAAATTTCTACCGAATTAAATAACTGACCTGTAAATAAAGTCATTCAGAGTGGTCTGTTGTGACATGAAATGCTGCATTTTAGAGAAAACCACCAAGTCAGAATTGTTAACAGTGGTGGACGTCTCTGAAAGCTCCCTCACAGAAAGTTCTTACATGAAATGGTTATGAATACACCGCCCGATGTCTGAAACAATGTTTTACGACAGTTTTTGGACTAAAAGATAACTTTCATGGCAGACGGATACATTAAGGGCCAAAAATTCCCCAAGGAAAACGTACTTTTTCAGACTTATCACTATTTTAACATCTTCAGAGTTACATATAAGTACTCAGAAGACACTTGGAGGTTCACTGGTGGTTTAACGGCTATATATGCAATGTTGAACTCCCCTGGTTCCTACCACCACCACTGTAACTCTGAGGCAAGCGTGTGACGACTGAGGCATGCAGTTCTCAGATTGTGATGTTGCATTACATCATTAAATTATCACTTCAGCACACCCTCTGAGTGCCAGGGAAGTGATGACAAAGCCTATGACCCACGGTCATAAAACCACAGAGGGTTATAAAAGCAGTGCTGTCACAGCGATGCACACCCTCTCAGTAGTGTAGTCTAGAGAAGTGAGACTGCATATTCACAGCCCACGATATGGGTCATAATAACAACACTGCCACCAGGCTTGGTCAAAATACTCTGGAAAAGAAGAGATGGCTGAATCCTGAATACGCTGTCTGAAATGTACTCAGTATTCTGTCACAATATGTAAATAACATATTCAGAATATATTTACAGAATAAATTTATCTTGGTAAAGCAGATAGGATTTTTTTTTACTTGATTCATACAGTTCCTCGCTATAACTGGTTAGCAGCTTTCTTCATGTATTTTTCCTATTAACATATTTCATGAAAAATTCCTTATCATTTAAAAAACCTTATATTTTTCCTCTCTCACTGCCTGCTTCAGTTGACTGCTGCTCCCACAGTACTCCAAGCAGGAGTCATCATAACACTGATGCTAAACTTATCACTTACAAACATGTCCACTACTTAGATGTTAATTAGTTTGATCATTCCTTTAAAAGAGCTCAGTAGCACTGAGATTATTAACTGATCATCTCATTGATTTGTCAGTCTACTCAGGCTTTAGCAGAGCTCAGTAACACTGAGATTAATAACTGATCATCACATTGATTTATCAGTCCACTCAGGCTTTAGCAGAGCTCAGTAACACTGAGATTAATAACCGATCATCACATTGGACTGAAACTTCTGTATTCCCAATATTTGTATTCCGTTACATCCCAAAGCTGACTGTCACCTACCACTTCATCTCTCAGTACATCAGTTTCAGGCATGGTTTGTAGTAAGATATACTGGAAGCCTGGTCATCCAGGGTCATAAAGCAAGTGTCCCCCTCATCGTCACTACAATCTGCACTCACAACACAGTAGTGCCATAGAACAGGTTTGTTAGAAGAATACCAGGGTCATAAAACCAAGTGTCTCTCATCACCATCACAACCACAACCTCAACCTCAACCTCAACCTCAACCACAACCACACAGTACAGCAGATACCAGAGAACTGGTTGCAATGAGAGTGAACTCAAATTCCATGATGTAAGTCCTAAAAGCAGCAGTGCCTCTGAAGCCAGCTCCTTGTTTGAATTTTCCCGTTCCACCTTAAACAGTGAAGCAGTTAACTGCTGCACATTTAAGGTGGAACGGGAAAATTCGAGCAAGAAGCTGGCGAATAAGAAGAATAAGCTGACTTCAGCCTCGTCAGGGAACAGGGCTGACCCCACAACTCATCCCGTCCCCTTCTTGTTGTGTCCCAGCACTGTCCGACACCTTCACAACCCCATCCAGCACTTCTGTCCCCGAACACCAAGCGGGCCGCTCCCGTTTGTTTTTATCCCGCTGCTAGCGGCTAGGCTAAGCTACGCTAGGCTAAGCTAAGTCAAGTCAAGCCGAGCCACCTTGTAGACATCTCCGTAGGTCCCGCTGCCGATCCGCTGGATGAGCTCGAAGTCCTCCTGCGGGTTTCGCCTCGACAGGTCCAGGCTGGAGTTCATGGCGGCGGCGGCTCAGGGCGCTTCTGCCCGCGCCGTGTCGGAGAAACACCGAACCTAGTGACAAACACTGTGCGCCGTTCAACGAGTCAGGGACCAGCCGAGCTTCGGAGTCGACTCCCTTCAACAACTCGGCTCAGCCGAGTCATTGAATAGAGATACACGAATGCTAACTGATTTACTACCCTGTAGATCAGTGGCCAGCGGTCACGATTGGTTGGCACCGCAGGGATTCCCAATAGTTATATGGTGTACTTGCATAATGCATTCTGGTCATTGTAGTGAGAGAACACTGATGAACAGAAATATGAAGATGATATAAATGTGTGTATAAAATTGTGTCAAACCAACGAGGCTGAGGATATGATGCTGCGCTAGCGCTACACATAAAGGTCCAATCTTGCACATCTGGACACTCCACACCTAGACACTTTATTTCAGTACCAATATATGCACATATTTATTCAGTATTGTCATTATATGCCGTTACCTGCGCCTCCTTGTACAGTCATTATTGCACTGCCTTTTTCATCTCAGGTTATAGATCTTATTGCAGATTTTTGTATATTTCTATTTGTATATATGCCTGTAGATAGGATTTTTTTGTATTTATTCTTCTTTTTATATTGTTTGACCCTTATTATTATAACTGTCCTGTGTTGTGCGATTGCTACTGGCTGCTAAATTTCCTTCGGGATCAATAAAGTATCTATCTATCTATCTATCTATCTATCTATCTATCTAATGGTCCCCTTATCACAACACCCTCCCTACATTAGAAAATCTGGATCAGAATATAAAACACTATCATAAGGAACAGAATTTGTGATGGTAGTAAATGATTTCAGACACTGCGTAATACAGGTTTGCTCATTACTATGCAACAGCAGATTCCATCACATAAACACTATGAACATCCTGTAACAGGTCTGAAGAGAGCTCTGTGGAGACACTGCCACTGTAGCCAAGTCCGATAATTCTACTCGGAGAAGTTGCATGTGAATCTTCAAACCAAACATTGAGTGCATTATGGGTATCCCCTGTTCCCTATGGTACATTAGTTGTACACTATTTGTTGGGGTGCAATGTGGGACTGTTTGATTGCACTGGATCTATGTTTTCAGACACCACTACAAAATGGCAGAACCCCAAAACTGTGCACTGTATAGAGAACAGGGCACTGTTACAGACACAGCTTTTGTTTTAGGCCACACACCATCGGTAGATTAATTATAGCGAATAGATTTTAATCTATATACTTTACAATATATACACTGTGGTTGAGGATTAGTTTAAGAGTCTATATTTATATTTTATACCACAGACTGTGGTCCCTGGGGGTGTTTCTCAAACTGGATTTCTCAATTAGCCACATAACATAAGCCCATAATTGAGGATTGTCCAAAGTGTGTCCTTAAGCTCTTTCCCTAGGGGACAGGCTTGACTTTGGGCTTAAGTTATCTGGCTAAACTGAGAAATCCTGTTCTGTGGAATTTCCACACCACTCGGGCAGAGCTGGCTAATTAGCTGATTAGCTTGACTGTGTTACAGCAGGGAAAACACGTAGGTGTAAGACAGGGTGCACTCCGAGTTTGGAAACCTGACATATAAAGTATACATTTATATTTATATGTATATTTTATGTTTTTAAAAGTACGTATTTCTATGCAGTCTATAAACTATACATTAATAACGTTTGAAGGTAACCTAATAAATTCACAACATGAAAGGATAACATAAGGTGAGGTCAGGTAAAGCTGGTCATCCCACCCTCCCTGTATATCATTGTTCATGAAGGAGATCATTGTGAATATCACTGCCTCGAAAGTCACTGTCTATGGGGGCATAATGATTAAGATGACTTGAAATATCTGTTGCCCCAAAAAGCCTGGAAGAAAAACGGATCATTGAATCGGACAGTTCGAAAGAATCGGTTCGGTGAACTGACTCAATAACGACTGGACCCGACCGCAACATGGCCTCCGGCGCGAAGTGCGCATGCGCACAGCGCATCGGGCACTAAGGCTGAAATGGCAATGAAGCTGCTGCTAAAAGATGTAGCATCTTCACTCACTGTGTTCATGAACTGAAGGAAGAGTGTTAATTTAAAAGATGAAAGAACTAAATCTGAGGTAAAACTAGAAACATACTTTAGTAATAAAAAAGTATCAGGTCCAAAAAAATTCCTGACGTCATGTTCCTGATAGAATTCCAGTGAAGAGCGTTGGTACATTCAGCATCTATTAGCACAGGAGCTTAAAGGGAAAATCCACCAAATTTCAAGAAATCTACATAATTAAATGGTTGAGATCTAAACAGAGTCATTCAGAGTGGTTTGGTGTGAAATGCTCTGTGCTAGAGAAACTTGCTGGGCCAGAATTGTTCACAGTAGTGGTGATAGGAACCAGACATCTGAAGAGTTTAATGCCTCTGAAAGCTCTTTCACAGAATTATTACATAGTAGTAGTTCGATATATGCCACCTGATGTCTGAGACACTGTTTTGTGAAAGTTTCGTGATAAAGTTTTGGCTTAAAATGTATTTTAATCCATTTATTTTAATCCATTCATGGCAGAGTGATACATGCAGAGCACTGTAAGGTAAAATAGTCCCCAAAGAAAACATATTATTTTCAGATTTATGACTATTTTACAATCATCAACATTACACATAAAAACTCAGAAGGTGTGTAGGATCACTGGTGGTTCTGGATAGTAAATAAAATGGCTATATCTGTGTTATAGACAGTGTGACTCCTGATTCCCATCACCACTAAAGAAATTAGAGTTTGTATATTTCTCTCCAATGAACCACTTCACATCAAACCACTGAAGGACTTTGTTTACATCTCAAGGACTGGATCATTCCAAAAATCAACTAAAAATGACTTAAAATAACCACAAAAAAATCTAGATGACCCCCAAGACATTTGAGATAGTATTCTGTGGGCCGATGTCCACAGACTCAAAGGTGGAACTTTTTGGAAGACACGGGTCCTGTTACATCTGGCGGAAAGTTAACACCGCATTCCACCATAAGAACACTGAGACGCTGTGGCAAGACCTTAAATGGGCCATTCATGCTCAAGAACCCTCCAACGTAGCCAAATTAAAACAAATCTGCAAAGAAGCGTGGGTCAACATTCCTCCACAGTGATGTACATTCAACACACGTTATCACAAATGTTTGATTGCGGTTGTTACTGCCAAGGGTGACACTACCAGTTATTAGGTTTAGGGTGCAATTACTTTTTCACATGGATGACATAAATGTTTATTTTCAATAAATGGAATGATCATTTAAAAGCTGAATTCTGTGTTTACCTGTGTTGTATTTGTCGTATATTAAAATGTAATTAAACTGGGTGAGGGGCCAATTTTTTTTACAGCACTGCACAAATACATTACATTTTAACTTAACTGGAGCGGGAGTTTGCTCTACTGGAGTAAATGGTTGAATAGAACAAGCAACGAATTAAAGACAAATGATGCCCCTTTTTCCCCTGAGGAGGGCAGAATAATTAAGTTGACTTGACTAATAACTGGGCCGACCAAGGTTCACTTACGATTTTACGCATTAATGACAGTCATAATTAATTTTCCATAACCATTTTCCAACCTCTCTTTATTTTTTTACTGTGTCTTTAAGACTGATAGACATAATTGTTTTCTGCTCTGATTGGCTGCCATGTATTGTGCCTCATTCACAAAGCAGTTCGGCTGAAACACTCCTTATAACTTCAGTGTGAATGGGTGGGGCTGAAACTGAACTACGCTGAAAAAGTGCATATATGTAAAGTATTTCTTGTGACATCAGAAAAGCTGTGAATTTAAAAAGGGTTAACGGCCGGGGGGTGAACGATACATGAAACATTAATGTTTACATACTACAACAGCGAGGAACATTGTTTTCTGTGATTTTGGCCCTTTCAGTGAAAGTTTGAGTGAATGCAGCCACAAATACTTGAGTGAAAGTAAAAAAAAGTCTTAACATAAAAACATAAAGTACATTAAAGTAAAAAGTCAATTATTTAACAGACAAATTATAATTTTCTCTGTTTTGTGTTGCATGATTTGGTGAGTAATAGGCTGCACTAGTCCTTCCATGGACAAATTAACGTAGCTGTAAGCAGTTTTTACCTTAAACTGGTTGGATGTGTTAATAACAACCAAAATATTGCCATTGAGATTTTTTATATCTGAGCACTTTAAGGCCTAAATGAAAGCTTAAGTAGTTAAAATATGTTTATTCTCTTGGAAATGGAACTGAATTAGAGTAAGAGTGCAGCAACATTCAAAATGTTCCACAATAATACTTAAGTACAGCGATGAAGTATAATTACTCAAGTATGTTCCACTTCTGAATATCTGTGGACCCCGCCCCACCCTACACACAGCTGTTATTCCAGTCTAAATCACCTGACCTGACTCATCTGTGGTTTAGCGTAGTGAGTAATAAAGTGAAGAATGCTGTTGTTGCAGGCTTTTCAACATACTGCACTATAATCACTTACTCACTCACTCACTCTCTCACTCTTCCTCACATACTGATGTTTGTGTTCCTGTCTTTGTAGAGTGTTTCCATGTGTTTCTGTATAATTGTATGTCAATGTAACACAGTCGTAACATTAGCAACCAAAAGATTTGCCTCACAGCAAGAAGGGTCTGGGTTCAATTCCCCGGCCGGGCAACCAGAGTCCTTTCTGTGTGGAGTTTGCATGTTCTCCCTGTGTCTGTGTGGGTTTCCTCCCACTGTCCAAAGACATGGAGTCAGGCTAATTGGAGACATTAAATTGCCCCTATGTCTGTGTGTCTGCCCTGTGATGGACTGGTGACCTGTCCAGGGTGTTTCCTGCTTTCCGCTCAATAAGCACTGGGATAGGCTCCAGCACCCCCAGGAGGATAAGCAGTTTAGATGATGAATGAATGAATACAAAAGACCATTTATGCACTGAAACGGTTCGAGCTGTCTATATATAGTTGTATGCAAAAGTTTGGGCACCCATGGTCAAATTATGTAATCTTAATATTAGTATTGCAATTATTTCATTTTTTAAAGTAACTTAAATCCTCTACAAAGACTGC